AGAGAGACAGATGGCTGTGAATTGAGTTGGTGATGGCATATGTCTCCTTCTGTATGACCCCATCCCCAAATGTGCCAAAAAGCATTGAGAAAACCAAAGAACACAACAGAATGGGGGGACACTTGGGAAGTGCTAGCTGGCATGGAAGCAAACATAGAGCATAAATTTCATCTGGAAACCTAAAAACCGGTCGCGACGGTTTTTGTTGCTAGGAGTGGCTGTTTGTTAGGAGTGGCTCGCTACGGATGTGAGCACCGTGACTGTGACCAAGAGAGAAAAGCCGTCTACAGCCTGCCCGATTCCAGCCGCAAGAACTTAAGCGGCTTGAAACCAGCCCTGCAACGCAGCATGGGGCTCATGCATGTCTTGCGCTGGCAACAGATCAGGGGCAGACTGAGCCCGGCGATGCCAGGGATGTTGCCCTCCACGCCCTAGAGCTTTGTCAGGGTTGGTGTTTGGCTCGTTTGGGGCTAGCTGGCGTGACCTCCGCTTGGCATTAGTTGTTTTTGGTGAGATTTGTTTGTTTTATTTTGTGTTTTGTTGGTTTTCCGTCTTGGCTAATAAAATGCTGTATTTTACAGCATTTTCTCACGAATGCAGAGGATGCGAAATGAAAAGCCACAAAAGCCACATACACCCACGTAAACGCCACAAAAGCCAAGAAGCCGAAAAGCCACCCAGCCTGAAAACAAAAAGCATCTTTAAAAAAATGAAAATAATCCTTAAAAACATGGCCCTCCGTTGATTTTTTGAGCTTCCCTGCTTATGGTTGAACTTGCGTAAACTTGGGGGTGGCTTCGGGATGGCTTGCGTCAGGCTTTGGGGCTTGTTTCAGCTGTGCTTACTGTTGCTGCTGAAGGGGCGATGTTATTTGTATTTTTGCTGGTTTGCGACCAACCAACCAACCAGCCAACCAACCGCCTTAAAGCCGTTGCTAGGCTGCGAGCCACTCCTAGCAAAACAAAAACGTCGCCTCCCAAAAAACCTCGAGTTTTCCAAAACCACCAAAAAACATCAATGTCACACATGCATGGGCCAGGGGCATAGGGTCTGTTTTTTGAAAAACTCGCGGTTTTTTGGCATATTTCCCTATATGCAAAACGCAGGCCCCATGACGACCCCTTCTGTAACTTTTCTTATGGACCTGGTCCGCGTGGTGGCCAATCTTTCGGTTCGCTTCAGGGCAATATTCGGAACAATCATACCGGTTGGTCATACGCTTTCATGGGCAAATGGTCAGCTCTGAGTGGACCACTTCAAGCTGAATCCCCATGAGGAATTTGTGGTATACTAAGAAGCTCACGACCTTCGTAGAGTCCGCAAACACGGCTCTTTTTGGTTTTGTGGGGGGACTCCTGGCTGGGGGGTATGTAGGCCACTACAATGTGCCTACAGATCTGGAAGCTCCTGAGACTCCCCCTTTCCAACCAGCTAGATCCGGCCTAGCGCTGCTGCGATCACCAGCGCAGGGGAGCTCAGCTCAGAGACTGGCACCCTGAGGCACGAAGAGTTTCGCAAAACCGTGGGGGTTGGGGTAATGGACTTATAGCGCCCCCTTTTTGGGTGGCCTCGTCAGGCCGAGGCACCGTTCTTCTTAGGATTCCGCCAAAGGAACTGGACGACCATGGGATTTTTCGGTATTCCACCCCCCGTCTGTTTGTGCGCCGTGGTGACTCCGAATCTGTGGGCCAGATTTCTGGTTCCCTTCGTGGAAACCGTTACAATGGCTGCATGACCATCCCCAAGCGTTGCATTTTTGTTGCCATCCCTACCAGCCCCAAGTAACGTTCTTGTGACCGAACCGCGTATGTGCTTCCCGCCCCCCCCCCCCCCTCTGCCGCAACTGCGCCGGTTTGGGCCCCGGCGAGTGGCTGGAAAACATCCCCGGCATGGCGTTAAGCAATCCACTCTAGTGACCAATGTCTTAGAGGTCCTGCGGGAGTTCCAACCAAGCTTCCCAAACCTGAATATCGCATTTAGCGTCTCAAAGGTGTCCGGTTTCAAGGGTGAGCAAAGTTCTGCCATGATTGACAGAGGAACGACAAGAAGGAATTCTAGTTACTTTTTTGTTGGATCTCTGCCTGGATTCTCCCGTGTTTCTGCTCCAGCTGCCCTGTGTGCTTGAGGGGCCACTGAAAAGCACATTGACATACCAGACCCACAATATGTTTCCAATATGCGCCCGTGTCACGCGTCAATAGTTTGCACTTTTGCTGCGCTCATGGTGTTGACGGCTCCCTGGTGTGGAGGACATGGACTCCAGTCGCAGAAACTTTCGAAAGCAGGAACCAAGCAACAAACGCTGTCAAGCCTTAGTTCGTGTATAAGGGGCAGGCAAAAACAGATGCGTTGGATGTCCCAGCGTAAGTTGCTTCAAGAACAGCGCGCGGGGAACGAGGATCCATACTTGCTGGCTTGCCCTTCTTGCAATGCTTCAATCACAGGGTCACAGTGGTTTAAGCTCATTTTGCCTCATGGCTGGACGCTGCTCAAATAGTGACTGAAAAGCCAGGTTTGCTACTTGTTTGCTTCCAAAACTGATTGTCGGTTCGGAATCTTGATGCTGCCACTTCATGTTCAAGGTCAGTTTGCTTGCAATGGAATGTTGGGATGATGACCCAGCTGTGGCTGTGACCAGGAGATGCAGTGTTGCTGGTCTCTGAGGAGCATCGCTGCCATGCCATGCTGTTCGTTTCTCAGAAAACACACACTCTGCATTCGCGGTTCAAGAAGTGCTGCCGGAGATTCATCATACTCACCGTGCCATTTGGCCCGGTGTACCACCCCCTTCATTGATCAAAATTGATTTGGATTCTTCATGAGGAATGGAGAAGGTTCGGGCGTGGTGACGCAACAGTTCAAAAAGGAAACTGTTTGAATTCAGGCTGCGGTGAGCCGTTGGGCGGCGCTGCGGGGGCACTTTTGCTTTTGGTTTTTTTTGGGGGCATCTCAGGCTGTAGATGCACTCCCCCCTGTGCTTCAACTTTTTACCATGCTGCGGACCTTGCTCAAATGTGCAGTTTTGCTGCTCATAAGCGCTTTACATTGGGGGGGTATCTTTTGTAGGGGGGTCACTGGTCAAGTTGTCAAACGCCATCCAAAGAAAGCCGGCGTAAAGTGAGCACCCCATCTAGCAGATGAACGGCGAGTCATCAAATTGTTCCAAGTGAACCAAAGCGCCCAAGGCGCATAGTGATTGCTGGAATGGGGTATGGTTCAACATGTAACTTTGGCATGTTGGAAATGCAAGTGCGTACCGCCGCGCACTGAGACCACTCACATATGACATCGTTGCCACCTTTTGACTTATATCTCGGGCAGCTGAGCTGCCAAGTCACAAGCAACATCCTGGTACCGAAGAAAACCGAGGCCAAACCCAAAGAGCCCCGTTGCCAGTCTTTTCCTCCGATGGACACCCTCTTGGCATAAGGTCTGCTGCACTGCTTCAGCGGCCCGAGTCAATACAGCTTGATCCCATGTGCGATGGCAGCTTTCACCCTCCTAAAGCAATGCCTGCACCTTCATTTGAACACTTATGTTTGCTCGATGTGGTTTGTCACACTTTTTCTGGCCGACTGATCAAATATGGGCCGGTTGGGCCGAGTTGGAAAGAAAATGACCGATTCTATGGAAAAGGGTCGTGGCAATCCTTGCAGGCTGTTGTTTTGCATGGACGGTCCGCAACTGGCCTGCTATGCGGGTGGTGATCTGCTTCTGGATTGAAACCCTGCAGTTCGCCAGCTGATGAGGCAACAGAGCTGGTTTTGTGTGATTCTGCAATTCTAGATTTGACCACTTTTTGAGATTTGCGTCCGTTTGCGGGTTTTTGCGTCCGTTTTGCGGGTTTTTGCGCCCGATTTGCGGCATTTTTTGGGCGCAATTTTCCGCAAAAACAGCAAATGGTCAGACCAAAGGTTCCAATTCCTGTCCCTGTGCTGGCTCCACTTCTTAACGACACGAAATTCAGGATTTGCAACAAAGCTAGGCGGTGCCTAGAGCCGCAGGCTCAGCTGCCCCGAAAATGCTTCACAGGTAGGAAACGCACTGTTTTTACAAAAAAGTGTTCGTTTCTCAGAAAACTGCTCGATTGTGACAACGACCAGTTTTGAAGGCCACTTCCAGAAAAAGTAGTCGATGTCCCAATTGAACAAAAATAAGTGACCGCTTGACGCTGCAGGTGAGATTTGGTCGTTATTGGCTCTCTTGGTCCTTTGGCATGCCAGCATGCCCAGTATGTCTTGGGGCATGGCGGCTGTCAGGATGGACGTGGTTTCCGTGTTCACTTTACAAAGAAACCACCTCAGCCTCTGCCCCAACCAAAATATAGTCCGTGGGGGGACCTAGGTCCATATTGAGTGAACCTTGGAATGCAGCATTAGTTCAACAAAGACTCCGAGGAAGCTGTGAAACGAAAAGGGAAAAAACGACTGCGAAGCTGTGTCCAACAAAACGTGGGACCGCCTCGTAAGGGGCTGAAAACTTGGCCTTTCTCCTTTTCTCAGGTCTCTTTCCGTGGGACAATGCTGGACAAAGCACTGTACCAGTTGGAAGGTGGTTTGTCCCATTCATTGGGATTCCCTCCCGGATGTCTGCCATGGTCAAACCTCAATATTGGCCCATGGTCATGGTGCCTGAAAAGGAGTCCGTATCATGGTTGTCTATGTTCCCTTTTAAAGGAATCCATGACCATTGACTGACAAAGGCACACCCACACCAAACAACGGAGATACCAATGGCCTGCATGTTTCCCATGCTTCAAACCATCAGCGGAAAGCATGTCACCAGAAAGGAGTTGCAACAGAACAAGGCACATGTTGAGCCGATTGAAGCATGGGGCTAAGTACGGTAGAATCTTGGGGTGGGGGTGCTTTAAAGCCAAATTAAGCCACAACTATAGTAGCAACAGGTTGGTTACTGAGTCCCTCATATTCAGCCAGCTGGTAAGTCACGGGGCAAAGCTTCCATCCATTTCGAGCCCAATTGGAGCGAGTTTCAGCGGCTCACCCAGCGCCCTGGCGCGAGTTTCAGCACGCTTGGCTTTGGCTAAGCCTTGTGGGCCAAGCCAGAACTCTGCTTCCCTCTGATAGGTTTGGAGGTTTGCTGGTGGCTTCCCATGTGCTCTGCACAAGAATCACGGAAACACATCCGAATCCAAGCTGCCAATCCAACCACCCAACTAATGTGTCGCTTGAACAAGTTGCGGACTGGGCAGGCCTGCTACGCGGCTCTCATGAACAGCTGGTGAGGAATGGTACTCAACATGGTAGTTTTGATGACTGTTGACAGGTTTATTGACCATGGAATTTTGTGAGGGCCAAGTAGTGGCTGGCAAGCAATCACGGAGAGGTCGAGCCAAAAACTCGTGTTTTTTGGGTAACTAAGCGCTTGTTTCCAACAATTCGCGCTATGCTTGCTTTTTAAGGAACATGTTGGGAAATTAGGTATTCATACCGCGCCATTTTGCTTTGTGGATGACCCCAACCCAATGCTAAAAAATCGGGAGGTTCCATCGGCACCCAACACAATAATTTGAGGACGCTGGCAGGGCCCAGTGGGTGTAATCCTCAAAATTGCCCAAATAGTTTCGGCTGTAAAGGAAGACCATACCGTAATTCAGTTTCAGAACCAGAAGGAAACCAAGAAAGACAAACTTAGCGCCAACCAGTTGCAAGTGGCCCCCAACATGAACTTGGGATCTTCGCATGAGTTGTGCCACAAACAGCGCATGCAATCCCGCCTCGGCCTCAGGCCTGAGGCGCAACGATCATGCGTGTGTGTGTGTGTGTGGCTTGCTGTTTGAAGGCGCCCTTTTCAGCTTGGTTTCAAGGTTGGCTTCAAGGAAGTCAAAGGACAACCATCATTTTTGGGATCTCCCTGCTTTGCCAAAGCCAAGTGCCAGGCTGAAAAGGGGATCAGCAAAATGCGCTTCCTCAAACTAGGTCAACCCGACCGGACGCATGTCTGCAGCTGCGCATGCTGTCTGAAAAGCTTCCGCCAAAACTGCGGAGACAGTGAACATGCGAACAAAAACCATGTCCATACCGCCTAAGCCTCATGTAATATTTTGGTTGAGATGCAGCAGTGACCTACACCCCATTCATGTGACTTCACTAATGCAATCCATGTTCTCGGGAGCTCTCGCAAAACAAATGTGGGGGGTGTAAGGACATGCCTTTCTCAGAGCATTGGCATGTCCGTGATCTCAGAACAACGGGGGACAACCGGAGCGATGGTGACCTTGAAGGTCTTGCGCTTGTCGCCGTTGCCGGTTTCAAGGACGGTAACTCCTTCCAAGGCCAACGAGAATGCCATGTCCGGCGTTTGTTCCTAGACGTCAGGAGTTCTAAGATGAAACCGTCACCACCGTTGGTGGACACCGGGCGCAACATCGCGCAAATCTGGGGCCAATGGCGCCGTCGTCTGAGTAGGAGTAATCAGAGTAGTCGGAGCCTTGCCCAGGGCATGGATGAAGTCAAGTCAAAGCGATCCCGTCCAGCCCGTTCTTGCCGGTTGCAAAAAGACTGTCTGTTCCTTGCACAAAAGTCGCCTTCAGGGACTGGAAGAAAAAACAAGGAGAAAGGTGCAGCTTCTAAAATGTAAGTTATATTCCAACCTGGCAATCATGCAAGCTGTGGACCCCAACTCGTGTCTCTATCTCTCTCCCTCCCTCTCTCTCCCTTGCTCTCTGCGCCATCAACTTGTCTTAGCTGATTTGTCCAAAAGCAGCTCAACCAATCCAGAAGACGTAAGTTACATGTGCCATGTAATTGACACGTTTCGATGCCCCCCCCCGTTTGACCATAAGAAGGTGGACATGCCGCACTTCTGCGTCAGATGGCGAAGGATCGTGTGTCGTCCCTCTGCATCTTAGGGGCTGGGCCTTTCTGCTTCTTGTCCTGCGACGCGGGAGCCAATGCTTGATTGCACAACAAGCATCAGCTTCCCCCTGGTTGGTGGTTTGGTTGGGTGGTTTGGATGTTGGGGGGTAACAACAACTGGGGCTCACATCCTCAAACCACCAATCCAGACCACCAATTGAGGGAAACCTGACAAAACGACTCGCATGAATTCCTTAAGGGAGCAAACAACAGCCAGGAACACTTTGCCGGTCGACTGGAAAATTGATTCGTCGTCCGTTGGGGCGGGTAGAATTCCAGGCCATGACTCACAAGGCCACGCATCCTCGCGATCATTGTCTTCCTCCTTTTCTTCTTCTTCCTCAGCCTTCGCCTCAGCAACAATGCCCAGCACATGTTGCCGCGCAAGGGCCTTCTGCACTTTCAGAAAAAGCCCGGTTTTGACTGGGTATGTGCCAATTCGGCCGGCAAGGGAAAGAACGCACATGCTGTCCGACGATGTATACATGTCCCACCCTCCCCCCCCCCCTACTCGCGGCATCTCGAGGCCGTTTCAACATGAGCCATGGTAAACAGTTTCATCGGCCACGGTTCCTGCAACAAACTCTGGCTCACTGGCGAGGCAATGGATCACCCTCGCCTTAACATCACCTTTAGCCCCAAGTAGTGGTTCTTTGGTGCTTGGGGTTTCCCATTTACTCTATGAGAGCCAAGGGTTCAAATTCCCGAACCAATCCAATCCCCGCAGCCGGGGGTCCCCTCAAGGACATGGAGAAAACCATCCCCAAACCAAACTGGCCCGAGCCTGGGGAATGTGAAGAGACCGTCTTGGCTCACACGAAGTTGACCAGAAAGCAAAGCATTCATGGTTTGAGCTGATACCTTAGAACAGGGCATCAGCAACTAGGCATCGACTGCAAAATCGGTGGCTTCCTTTGGCTACACTGTAAGGTCTTTAGGCCTCAGAGGAGGTCTCTGTTGTCCCCCCCTCCACCTTGCCCAGCCCCGAAAATACGTCAGAGAAGCAGGGATGAACAAGTCAGGAATGCCATGTAGCTGTTACCATTTACCCCGGTGAAGCAACCATCAAAACTTTGAAGCCGCAACGGCCCAAGCCTTTCAGGAACAAAAGAAACGTCTCACCAAGCAGAAACTGATGATTCCTGAGGATTTGAGGATTCCTATTTTTCCGCCTTTCTTTTAAACTAATATGTCCAAGCGGGTTTCTGCACCGCGCTGTGGGGCGCTTGCGCAAGTTGGAGTAAACAATATGTCCAACGCCCACTGCGCTAAGACCTGGATCCCCCAAAAAAACTTTGGCTCTCGCTGACCCCGGATGGGTCGACCGCGTCCGGCCTCGCCGTTCTCCTCTCCACGCTGGGCTTCCTGCAGCTTGGCCTGGAGCTTGGGGCTTTGGAGGGGGTGAGCTGGGCGGGGGGTGAGGGGGGGGGGGGAGGATTTTTGTATTTTTGTTACCGCAAGCGAAACACAGGGGAAACCACGGTTTTGCTTTTTTAGGGGAGGGGGGGATTTTTTGTAAAACCACGTGTTTGCTTCTTTTAGGTGGGAGGGGGGGCATATTTTGTCACGGGGAAGACCAGCGTGAGGGGGCCCCCCTGGCACATACCAGTTGCAGCTGGGATCATCGTTTGAATGAGAAAGTAAAAGGATTCTCTGCCAGCACCCCCCCAACTGTTTTTCCTTTCTTCAACAGCCCAAGTCAAGTACTGTCCAGATGCAGTGGTTGGAAGTTGGAAGGCGCTGGTGAGATTGCAACTGTAAGCGCGTGCTCCATGAATGATAGTGGTGAAAAGCCAGTACGAGCATCTTGACTAGGCTCCCACCACAGACCTGAATCAAATAAAGCTAGATATGGTTATCTCTTCAATGCCTGCCAAAAGGGTAGAACCGTGAAGTGTAGCCTGCCCCCAACTTTGACTTGCTGATATGATCTGCATGTGCTTGTAATTTCTGACTGGCCGGGCAAACTACCCCCCACTCCCTCAACAAGCAGACCACAACATAAAGGAAACTAGGCGAGTCGTAATTACCCAAAGGGTTGCCCCGAAATAATTCAGCAAACTCACAACAAGCTATTTGACCAAGGCAACTCCCAAAGTGGTACAAATAAATTAGGCTACTGCTGACCCCTGATCCTGAGGTCAGGGAAGGCAATCGAAAGCTCCGCCTTGCAAGATCGACGCGCAGCATCGACGGGGGACGAACCAACGAGAAGAAAAGGGAAATGGCCAGAAAAGCCCTGCGTCGGATCCTTGATGCAGAAAAGTGGAGGGAAGGGTAGGGAGAAGTCGGGAGAGAAGAGCAAAGCCAAGCGTGGGCAGAAGCGCAGAGAGAGAGAGAGAGAAGGAGCAGAGCGGAGCGAAGCCTGTGGGGAGCCTTGCGAACAGCTGCCTGGAATGGCAATCACTGGCCCCACTTGCAGCAAGCCAAACTCCACCACAAAGCGCGGCCCGCTGCGAACCTTCTGATGGAAGGGGTTCTGATCGGTGGCCTTTTGTGAAAAATAGATGGCTGTCATAGAACCCATCTAAGTTTCATCAAACTAACCTAAACAAAACAACAACTATGCTGGGCTGTCCTCACATCCCCTGCTAAAAGCCTACTTGTTTAGTGGGTTATGTGGAAACCCAACCACTAAACCAACTAAAAAGTCAAAAACAAAAGCAAGGATCCGGATGGAGCCGGTTCTCGTTTGGGAACCTAATGAAACCTCCGGCGAACACCCAGCCTTGGCCGCCGCCAACCTGCCAGGCTTCGCTTCGGCTCACTTGCCCAAAGGACCCAGAAATAAAAGGTTAACCTTTTAGGGCCATGACTAAAACTAGACCAAAAAGGAGAAACCAAAAGGTCAAAAGGTCGGCTTTGGGCAACTGAGTCGGTCCTTTCCTGCCTTGGAACCCAAAGAGCCATTCTTTTCGGGGGGGGGGGCTTTGCGCGTTAGATGGCAAAAGACACAAGGAGGGGTTTCATGACTTCGACCTCCAAATCTCAACGCGTGCGCTTGGTGTCGCTTCAACACTCATCAAAGTGGTAATCCCCAAGAAACATGCGCGGAAACACACAACTCAAGAGAAACTCGGCTGTCAAAAACGGGAACAAGTTAACGTGTGCACCCGAAATGGGAACTTACGCCCTGACAAAGAAAGCTCTTCTTCTGCTTGCTCCCAGGGGAAAAGGTTGTGGCAACTGGGCAGTGGCCCTGCCAATCCAAGAAACAAGCTACTCCCCTTGCAAATGAGGATGGAACCTCAAAGGCCATTGACACGACAACACACCTCCCATGCTACACAATACGGTGCCCCGAACCCCCCTGACCTGCACATTTGCCCAAGGTGCCCTCCCAAAGTACCTGAGACTCTCTCATCTTCACAAAGCAAAGCGCAGCGGCCGGGCGGCCGGCTCCATGTTTTTGCTTCTCGCGTTTCACCTCGCTCCAAGACCACTTCTGGCTCGCTATCCTTTTACACCTCTGTCGAAAGCAAGCTTACGCCCGGGAAGTCCCAGAATCTGAGGGCAACCAGTTCCATTTCCAATATGGCGGCGTACAAGGACACCCCTCTCTACATGAGCCTGGGTCAGGAGCATGGGCCAAAGCTTTGCCCTGGCAAGTGAAGCAGTGCAAAACCTGACTGTGGCTATCGCCTGAGGAAAACAGAACAACTTGCTGGTTAGTGGGAACATGCATACTTCCGAAACCAAGTTTGAAAGAAAAGCTAGCAGCACAGGAAGATTCCTTGAGCTTCAGCCAGGATTCCTTTTCAGGGCTCATGAAATCCAGACCGCTTCACTTCGGAGGCCTGCATTTCGACAGCCTGCTGCAAATCCCCGGGCAGACAGTCAGACATGGGCCATTTCAAGCTCAGTATGAGAACTGATCTAAACGGTAGGTATCTTGGCGTCTTTGCCGCGGTAAGGGATTTCAATCAGAAACCACTCCTTTCCGGAAGCGATAACTCACTACATTTCTTAAGACAGCCTGCCCCCATTCAGGTACATCTCGGTGGCAGATCCAGCCACTTTCGAGGCCGGCAAGGGCGGTGTTGAAACGGGCCGTCTCTTAGGGCACGCCTCCCTCTGTGAGTGGGGGTAACTGGGTTTAGTCTCTTATAGTCACCGTTGTAACCTACCAAGTAATTAGCTTGAACCCCTTCAGTAGGGACGTGCATGGCCCACGTCTCGGGAGTTGGTGTCCTGCTGTGGGCGGTACCGCGACAACGCCGCGGCGCCTCTGAAAGCCCCGCTTTACAGGTCGAATTCAAAGTTGCATGGGGTTCAAGGGCAAAACTTCGGGGTCACCAGATTTCCCCTCAAAAAGTTGATCAACTTGCTGGTGGTTCCCATTGCTTTGAAGGTTCCTCTCTCTTGCCCGCCCCCATCCGCCCCCCTTGATCCTTGGATCCACCGGGCATTCAGTCTTTCCTTTGAGGCCTGAATTCCGCCGGGCCCTGGTTCGCCGTGCCGGCGTGATACCAGGGCCAGGACCCGTGGGCAAAAAAACCGTCGAGCGCTCCGGCACAAAAAGCTCGGTTTGGCTGCGACGCTATGCTGTTACCTCTCCCGGCACGTTGGTTTCTTGATACGGCTCCTTGACCTCCATCGTCTGCACCGTCTTGGTCTCAACCACCTACAACGTCGCTGGGTGGCAGCGAGCCCCTGCCCAGTTTCCGAGTTGCCCATCGGCATGGCCTTTTTGGGGTGTTCATCTTTCGTAGTTCAAAGTCTCTGGACGAAGTGGAGAACCCCTGTCACTTCACGACTGGGTGACCGTGACTAATGAATTGACCGCAAGAAGTAAGACGTGTTTGCTGAAATTGTGGGTCACTTGAATTCGGGGAAGAAACCCCCATGAAACGCGCCCAGGGTTCACAGGTAATAAAAGCTGGCTCCATGGGGACCCAGCCGCCCGGGAAAAGGCCAAACATGAGAGGGGGAGTTGACAGGGCTCCCTATATTTCCCCTTAAAACATCACCCCCACCAAGGGATACTCACCTTCCATGGGCCAAAAAGGTGATGCTTCAAACCACCAAAAAGGGAAATATAGGGAATGCTGGTTCAGGAATCCTGCCTTTGAAGGGGAGAAAGGCCAAAGCATCTCACAGCCGCTGAATTGGGTCTAAGGCATCTCTGCGGCCAAGTGGCGAGGCCGCGTGAGATGCAGTTGTTCTTGTCGATGAGTGACCTAAGAGGGTCCGATCGGGAAGGGGACGGAATGTGCTCTCTTGGCATGCTTTTGTGGCGTTTGTTTTTTTTGCTTCTCCTTTCGTTCCCCCGTTGCTCGTTAGTGTCCCATTAAGGGAAATCATCCGCGAGCGGGGCCCGAATTGTAGGAAACACCGCAAGGCAGGCCTTCAACCTTCAAATCATTCCCAAGGAGGTTTGATATAAACAGCACCGCAGCATTTTCACTCCAAGCGATGCTATACGAGTCTGATAACCCACCTTTGCCTGTGGGATTTGCGTTGGTTTCCACAGCATGAATTTCCTCATGCTGTGGCCCAGTCAATTCGCCGATTTCCTCGGCACATCGGGTTTACCCCCGATAAGCTCTGGATGCCCTGCATCAAGCAGGATACATCTCCCACCACAGAGCTAACTGACTGACTGGGGGCCTGGTCCCCCAGGCATTCCCCAAGCGCTGCGCGCTCTTCAAAGTTCACGGACGTCCCAACTAGGGGGGCCGGTGAACTAGGGCGGGATAGGGTGGGGTTAAAATTTAGCCAGTTTGGATCATACTTGAGCCAAAAGGCCCTGCATGATCCAATACACTCCTTGCAGAATGAAGCCTGTAAACCCAAGCCTTCCAACCTGATACAGGATTACATTCCCAAGGACGTTTGATATAAACAGCACCGCAGCATTTTCACTCCAAGCGATGCTATACGAGTCTGATAACCCACCTTTGCCTGTGGGATTTGCGTTGGTATCCACAGCATGAATTTCCCTCATGCTGTGGCCCAGTCAATTCGCCGATTTCCTCGGCACATCGGGTTTACCCCCGATAAGCTCTGGATGCCCTGCATCAAGCAGGATACATCTCCCAAAGCACTTACTTTCACAACCTCTCCCAATGCACTCACAGGAACTCAGCGAAGGTAATCACTGCGCGGTACGGAAGCCTCAGTAGAGCTGGAGGGAAAAGACTGAAATTCAGCCGGAAGGGGTGGCCCGGTACCACGGGTCACTGGGTCCTAATCGGCTGATCGCGTCGGCCCAATTAGATTTGGATGGAATGTATTCCCACAGTAGAGTGAGGCTCGCAACGCAAAGAGCAAACACTGAATATACGTCGCCATCTTGGCCAAGTCGGGGTTGTCACTCCTGCCCCTGATCAAACACATAAGACTGGCGATGTTATCGATGAACCACACTCCGCGTCTCCCGCGGAATTGGTCGGGTCTCGCCGTGAGGGCGTGCGCCACCATGAATAGCTCCAACTGGGCTATTTTATGGTCGCCTGGCCCCCACATGTCATAGACCTGCGAGGGGATGACGGCCACAAAGGCTTCCCGGATCTGCGCGCCACCGTCCTGGAAGACCAAGTGGTATCCGCCGGACCCTTGACGGGGTGCCTCCAAGGCTGCGTCCGAGGCAGCCACCACCCTCGGCACGTCCATGGGTAGGACCATCAGCTCCCTCCTGGGGCGCATACTGATGATGGCCTCCAACACATCAAAAGCCGACAGGAGGCTGGCGCCGGCTCTGCTGGAGCCCCCGTACTGGTGCTCCTTCAATGCCTGGATCTCGCCTAAACCGATGCGCCCGAAGAGGCCATGCTCCAGGAAGTTGACCATGCCGTAGAGTTTCGCGGCTTGACCGGGGTGAACTTCCCGCTCTTCCTGGCGTCACGCATGAAGGTGAGCACCTTCTGCTCGAGTCGCTCTCGAACCCAAAAACGCGCACGCCCATGTGTGTGGATCTCCGAGAGGCCGATGTCAAGACCCAAGAAGGTACCGACATCCGCAGGCAAACGGGGTGCCCAGCAGGTCATTGAGGACGCCAAAGCTCCACTGGGCTGATGGGCCGTGGACTGCGCGGTCGGTGATGTGACTGTCATCGAAATACATGGACACCATGATTGCCAGGAAGCGCCTGCCCATAGCCTCCGCCATCCGAGAGTAGCGGTTGAAGGAGGTGACCGCCAACGGAAGGCCGAACAAGAGGGTGTGGTACACCTGGAAGGCGGGCCCCTGCCATTCCTGGTGGTACCAGACTACCACACAGGCCAGGGCCTCCTGTCGTGACATGGGACAGTGGCGGTAGGCATTCGGCCAATCGTCTCCGGCCCCCGTCCACTGCCCCTGCTGCGCGAACCGCTCCCAGGTGCACTCCTGAAGGCAGGCTGCAGCAGCTTGGACGTGGAGCGCTGGGCGGAGCGGCGTGCACAAAACAAGTTTGTTGGCATCTCTTGACGATGCGGATTGCCCGCCCCGTGCTGCGTCGTCTATTAGACGTTGCTTGCCGGACGCCTGTGTGATGACACAACGAGGTATGAGCCGGTAGGGGTCTCCTTTGGCATACCGCTTGAGCTGGCTCAGGTTCATCGGGGGGGTGCGAAACCCCTTGTGATCCTTCGTGGACTGCTCGAGGACGAAGGAGTCTGTGGAACCCGGCCGCACTCCCGCGATGGTGGCGGCATTGTGCTCCTCCCAGCCAGCCAACACCTCCGAGTGGGCGATTGCCTCGACGGGCTGGTGGGGGAAGACTCCGTAATGAGGGGCATAGCCCACCGCGGGGAGGCCCTTG